ACTTTGCGACATGAAATGTCAGTGAGCCTGTTATAAATTGCTTCTGGCACCCCTATTCTATCTTTTATTTGGCTCATAGTATTTCTACCTGAAAGTGATAAATCCCCACTATAACTGCTTTATGTGCTTCAGTAATTACATTCTACAGAAGGGGTGTGTGTGCAGAGAGTTCAACAGACATATCTTTTTAAAAACAGCAAGCAATAAAGAGCAGAGGAATGAGTTGAGCCCTGAAATGTTATTGAGCAAAAACAATGGCCAGTGAAACATCTATGTCACAAAGGTTTGATAAATGAGTGGGATATTGGGGGGTGGGGGCTTGATATTATGGAGTCTTAGGAGTTTACACCTGGCACAGGTGCTCACATTCACATCCTACACATTAGACAAGGGGTCCTCAAAGTAAGGCCCGGGGGCCGGATACGGCCCTCAAAGGTCATTTACCCAGCCCTCACTCAGGGTCAACCTAAGTCTGAAATGACTTGAAAGCACACAACAACACCAACAACAATCCTATCTCATCAGTCAAAAGCAGGCCCACCCTTCCCATTGAAATACTAATAAGTTTATATTTGTTAAAATTGTTCATTTTAATTGTTGTATTAAGTGTTTCTTGCAGTACAAATAAGACATGTGCAGTGTGCATAGGAATTCATTCATGTGTTTTTCAAATTATAATCCGGCTCTCCACAAGTTTGAGGGACTGTGACCTGGCCCTCTGTTTAAAAAGTTTGTGGACCCTTGCATTAGACCAATCCTTAGAAGTAATTTTAGAGATGAAAACTATTGATTCAAATATACCTGTGGTGAATAAATCATGACTAAACTGCTATTAATCTGGCTTTGGGAGAGTCGTAGATTTCTCCTCCCTTCCCCATGGTTGGTAGACTTTACCATCCACTTTGGACCCAAGTAGTTTATGCATGCTTATCTATCTGTTTGTACTACAAAGGCTGTTGCTAGGTGAAGGACTCGTGAAGGCGGATCTGGCCAGGGTGGCCCATGCCTTAGCCACCTCCAGATTGGACTACTGTAATGCGCTCTACGTGGGGCTACACTTGAAAACGGCTCGGAAATTTCAACTGGTCCAACGGGCGGCGGCCAGGATGTTAACTAGTGTTCCTTACAGAGAGAGGTCAACCCTCCTGTTCAAGGAGCTCCATTGGCTGCCGTTCATCTTCCGGTCCCAAATCAAGGTGCAGGTGCTTACCTACAAAGCCCTAAACCGTTTGGGACCCGCCTACCTGCGTGACCGCATCTCCGTATATGAACCCACACAATCTCTCCGATCATCTGGAGAGGCCCTGCTCACGATCCCAAGTGCGTCGGTTAGTGGGGACGAGGGACAGGGCCTTCTCCATGGTGGCCCCCCGACTCTGGAACTCTCTCCCCAAGGATATCAGACAAACCCCAACATTGGCAGTCTTTAGGAAGAGCTTGAAGACATGGTTGTTCCAGTGTGCCTTCCCAGAATAGGAAACTCCAAGCATCATGTCCCAATTGCACTTTACTAGAGATTTAAGATTGTCTGCACACCGCACCTATCTCCAAAAACCTATCCATCTCACCTGTCATGTTCAGCATTTTAAAATTTTAATCATTACATTTGGCCCACCCTTAGTTTTAAATGCGTCGTGGTGTTATTGTCTAATGTTTATTGCTGTTGTTTTAATGTTTATTGCTTGTTTTATGAGTTTATTTATTGTTGTATTTGTTATGCTGTTGTTTTATTGATGTGTTGGGCCTCGGCCTCTTGTAAGCCGCACTGAGTCCTTCGGGAGATGTTAGCGGGGTATAAATAAAGGTTTATTATTATTATTATTATTATTATTATTATTGGTGTCACTGGATTGACTGTTGCTAGGTTAAGTGGCCATCTGTGATGTCACTGCTAAAGAAAGATGACATGTGCATGAGGGAAAGGGAGGGAGGGAGGATGGAGAGGAAGTATATCCACATGGTATTGTAATTGAGCAATAATGACAGTTCTGATTGAAGCACATGCACTTTAGAAGGTTAAAAAATAAATTAACATCAAATTTTACCTGCTTTATGAGTATCTTGATACACTGCATGGAAGCTAAAGCTGGGCTTGTGAAAAATATGTTTGTGGATATATCTAACTGCAGGGTTTTTTTATATATATAAAAACAATAACTTTCTGCTGAAACACTGGACAAAACACATTACGAACACTCATTTTGGTGTCATCACCTCTGATGGTGTCACATTTCCTGAACCTTCTATGATGACGGTAATAATGATGATGATGAGAATGTCCCAATGGATCAGGAGGTTCAAGAGGTACAATAGCCTTAAAACCTGCTATATAATCTAGTTCAGAACCTGGCATAGAAAATAGAAGTTCTCCTGCTGTTTCTGTTATCATCCACATTTTGTGAGTTGATTTAGTAGCTAGATAAAAATGAATCAGAACAGCAAGGCTACAAATGGATTTAGTTATGAGGCCTTTAGGGTTGCTGACTATGATCATTTGTACTTTTATCTATTGTACACAGGGATGGCCCCAGGTAATATTCAGGGGTTTTGGCGCCCCCACAACCAATAATTTAAAATGTGTGTGTGTGTGTATACACACACACACACACACACACACACACACACTGAGGCACGAAGAGGGCCTTGGTGGTGGCAACTTCCTCCTCCACTGCTCCGCGCTCCTTCCTTGCCAGGCTGGGGGCCCAGCCTGGCAAGGAAGGGAAACTTTGAGGCATGGAGCAATGGAGGGGCAAGGAGGTGGGCGCTGCCGAATAGGGCCTCGGCAGCTTCCCCCTCGCCCCTCCGCTCTCTGCTTCATTCGGAAAAAAGCTGCACTTGCAGAGCTCTGGTGGTGTTGTATTTCAGTGTCAATGTTGACTTTTGTGGAGAGGTGGCTGCCAAGGTAGTGGACATGGTCAACATTTTCTAATGTTACACCATTAAGCTGTATTTCTGGCATTGGAGAGAGATTGGCTGGTGACTGCTGGAAGAGCACTTTGGTTTTCTCTATAAAGCTATTGTCCTCCAACCCTGCTATAACGCCTGGGCGAGGTGTGGCTGCTACCTTTGGCATTGTAAATAATAAATTGTGGCAAGTTCTTGTGGTATGGGGATACCAAACCACCTTGTCTCTCTCCTGAGGAATCTGTACAAGGACCAAGTAGCAACAGTAAGAACTGACCATGGAACAACAGACTGGTTCAAGATTGGGAAAGGCGTACGGCAAGGCTGCATACTCTCACCCAACCTTTTTAACTTGTATGCAGAACACATCATGCGAGGATGTGCGGGGCTTGAGGAATGCAAAGCTGGGGTGAACATTGCTGGAAGAAACATTAACAACCTCAGATATGCAGATGACACCACTCTGATGGCCGAAAGCGAGGAGGAGCTGAGGAGCCTTCTAATCAAGGTGAAAGAAGAAAGCGCAAAAGCTGGGTTGCAGCTAAACGTCAAAAAAACCAAGATTATGGCAACAAGAATGATTGACAACTGGAAAATAGAGGGAGAAAATGTGGAGGCCGTGACAGACTTTGTATTTCTAGGTGCAAAGATTACTGCAGATGCAGACTGTGGCCAGGAAATCAGACAACGCTTACTTCTTGGGAGGAGAGCAATGTCCAATCTCGATAAAATAGTAAAGAGTAGAGACATCACACTGGCAACAAAGATCCGCATAGTCAAAGCCATGGTATCCCCTGTAGTAACCTACGGATGTGAGAGCTGGACCTTAGGGAAGGCTGAGCAAAGGAAGATCGATGCTTTTGAACTGTGGTGTTGGAGGAAAGTTCTGAGAGTGCCTTGGACTGCGAGAAGATCCAACCAGTCCATCCTCCAGGAAATAAAGCCCGACTGCTCACTGGAGGGAAAGATACTAGAGACAAAGTTGAAGTACTTTGGCCACATCGTGAGGAGACAGGAAAGCCTAGAGAAGACAATTATGCTGGGGAAAGTGGAAGGCAAAAGGAAGAGGGGCCGACCAAGGGCAAGATGGATGGATGGCATCCTTGAAGTGACTGGACTGACCTTGAAGGAGCTGGGGGTGGTGACGGCCGACAGGGAGCTCTGGCGTGGGCTGGTCCATGAGGTCACAAAGAGTCGGAGACGACTGAACGAATGAACAACATCATATCTCCTCTCAGCCTTCTCTTCTTCAGGCTAAACATGCCCAGCTCCTTAAGCCACAGCTCATAGGGCTTGTTCTCCAGACCCCTGATCATTTTAGTTTTAGAATAGAGGGGTAGCATAGTGTCAAGGGAAGTCATGCTACCCCTCTATTCCGCCTTGGTTAGACCACACCTGGAATATTGTATTCAATTCCGGGCATCACAATTCAAGAGAGATATTGACAAGCTGGAATGTGTCCAGAGGAGGGCGACTAAAATGATCAAGGGCCTGGAGAACAAGCCCTATGAGGAGCAGCTTAAGGAGCTGGGCATGTTTAGCCTGAAGAAGAGAAGGCTGAGAGGAGATATGATAGCCATGTATAAATATGTGAGAGGAAGCCACAGGGAGGAGGGAGCAAGCTTGTTTTCTGCTTCCCTGGAGACTAGGACGCGGAACAATGGCTTCAAACTACAAGAGAGGAGATTCCATCTGAACATGAGGAAGAACTTCCTGACTGTGAGAGCCGTTCAGCTGTGGAACTCTCTGCCCCGGAGTGTGGTGGAGGCTCCTTCTTTGGAAGCTTTTAAACAGAGGCTGGATGGCCATCTGTCAGGGGTGATTTGAATGCAATATTCCTGCTTCTTGGCAGAATGGGGTTGCACTGGATGGCCCATGAGGTCTCTTCCAAGTCTTTGATCCTATGATTCTATGATTCCCTAGATCTAGACACTATGCTCCTATTGATGCAGGCCAAAATCCCATTGGGAAAAGTCCCACTTGCTGGCTGTGGGGATTCTGGGAACTGTAGTCCTTCCCCAAAGTGAGTCATTTCCCCCTCCCACTCTGAAGTGTAATCTAGGAGGAGGCAGTCTTCCGAAAGGGACCCTTTGAAAAGATCAGAGCGGGAAATGGGAGTGCTGGGCCGATCCCGCCCCCTTGAGCTGCTTGCAAGTGACTGCTTCCGCCTTGGAGAGGCGCGCGCGCGGCAAAGTTTGAACCAGTCTGTGCGGGGATCAGAGTCGCGTGGCCAGAGCAGTGAGCGCGAGCTTCTTAAGATGCGTCTCTCGGCTCTCCGGGTCCGCTCCGGGAACCAGCCCTCCTCCTCCTCCGTCGCGCGCATGGAGCAGCCCTGGAAGGAAACCCGGGCCGCTCTGGGAAGGCTCCGCGAGAGCCTGGGCTGCTCCCGATGGTAACAAACCCATGGATGTGGGAGGGCGGGGCTTCTCAAAGGGGAACTCAGTTTGGGAAAGTGTGGCCTGCTTTCAAAACAAAAGACTTTGCAACATAGATGTTTTCTATCTATCCAGCACGGGCAACTTTGGCCCAACAGACTTCAACTCCCAGAAATCCCAGCCAGTTTACCGGCTGTGAGGAATTGTGGGAGTTGAAGTCCAAACCACTTGGGGGCTGAGGTTTGCCCATTCCTGCTATACAGTATAGTAAATAGATAAACAAACAAACAAACCAAACGGGGTCCTTTTACATTGTTATATAACCCAGGGCCTTTCCACACAACCCTATATCACAATATCAAGGCAGAAAATCCTACAATATCTGCTTTGAACTGGGTTATCTGAGTCCACACTCAGATAATGTGGGATTTTCTGCCTTGAGATTCTGGGATATAGAAACATAGAATCAAAGAGTTGGAAGAGACCTCATGGGCCATCCAGTCCAACCCCCTGCCAAGAAGCAGGAATATTGCATTCAGAGCACCCCTGACAGATGGCCACCCAGCTCTGCTTAAAATATAGGGCTGTGTGTGAAGAACCCTGGGTTATCTGAGTCCACACTGCCACATATTCCAGTTCAGAGCAGAAAATGGGATTTTATTCAGCTGTGTAGAAGGAGCCCCAGGTAATCGAAACAGATAATCCACATTATCTGCTTTGATAATCCACATTATCTGCTTTATCTGAGTGTACACTGCCATATAATCCAGTTCAAAGCAAATAATCTGGATTTTATTTGACATTGTAGAAGGGGCCAGCTATTAAACTATTTTTTTTTTCGGTCATGTCAGGAGCGACTTGAGAAACTGCAAGTCACTTCTGGTATGAGAGAATTAGCCGTCTGCAAGGATGTTGCCCAGGGGACTCCCAGATGAATTGATGTTTTTATCATCCTTGTGGGAGGCTTCTCTCATGTCCGAGCATGAGGAGCTGGAGCTGATACTCATCTGCCTCTCCCCGGATTTGAACCTGTGACCTGTCGGTCTTCAGTTCTGCCGACACAGGGGTTTCACCCACTGCGCCACCGGGGGCTCTTATTAAACTAATGCCCCTTCTACATTGCCCTATATCCCAGGATCTGATCCCAGGTTATTTGTTTTAAACTGGATTATATGTATCTCCAGGAGCCCCCGGTGGCGCAGTGGGTTAAAGCGCTGAGCTGCTGAACTTGTTGACCGAAAGGTCACAGGTTCCATTCTGGGGAGCAACATGAGCTTCCACTGTCAGCCCCAGCTTCTGCAAACCTAGCAGTTCAAAAACATGCAAATGTGAGTAGATCAATAGGTACCGGTCCGGCAGGAAGGTAACGGCGCTCCATGCGGTCATGCTGGCCACATGACCTTGGAGGTGTCTACGGACAACGCTGACTCTTCGACTTAGAAATGGAGATGAGCACCGCACCCCAGAGTTGGACACAGCTGGAGAACCTTTACCTTTTTATATGTATCTCCACTGTCAGATAATCTGGGATGAGCAAATTTGAGATCAGATCCTGGGATTAAGGGCCCTTCTAGATTGGCCCTATATCCCAGAATCTGATCCCAGGTTTTCTGCTTGAAACTGGATTGTATGAGTCCGTGCTGCCAGATAATCCGGGGTAAACAAAAAGCCTGGGATCAAATCCTGGGATGATGATGATAAAAACAAAGTATGGATTGTTGATGTTACCATCTGCCTGCGACAAAGAACTGGTGGGATCACAAGTCCGATAAAGTTACAGAGAATGAACATGTTAAGTTACTCTGGGACTTCCGAATTCAGACAGACAGAGTTTTGGAGCACAATACTCACAACTGCGTTAAAAAACAAAGTATGGATTGTCGATGTTGCCATCCCAGGCGACAGCAGGATTGAAGAGAAACAACTGGAAAAGCTGACACAATACGAAGGTTTACAGATCGAACTGCAAAGACTCTGTCACAAGCCAGTAAAGGTGGTCCCAGTGGTGATCGGCACACTGGGTGCAGTGCCTAAAGGCCTTGACCTGCACTTAAACACAATCAACACTGACAAGATTACCATCTGCCAGCTGCAGAAGGCCACCTTACTGGGATCTGCATGCATTATTTGCCGTTACATCACACAGTCCTAGACACTTGGGAAGTGCCTGACGTGTGATCCAATAGAACAGCTAGTAGAGTGTTTGCTGTGGACTCATCTTGTGTTTCTAATAATAATAATAATAATAATAATAATAATAATAATAATAATAATGGAAACAATAAACATCGACAAAATCACGATCTGTCAACTGCAAAAGGCCACCTTACTTGGATCTGCGGTTATCATTCAAAAATACATCACACAGTCCTAGACGCTTGGGAAGTGTTCGACTTGTGATTTTGTGATACGAAATCCAGCATATAGATCTCGTTTGCTGTGACATACTGTTCTTTTGTGTCAATAATAATAATAATAATAATAATGGACAGATTAAAACACAGGTCATGAGTTTAAAATTCAGATTAAATCTGGCAGTCACCCAAAGTATCTAAGGCCTCTTCTACACTGCCACATAAAATCCAGATTATCTGTTTTGTACTCGATTATATGGCAATATACATATAATCTAGTTTAAAGCAGATAATGTTAATTATTTGATAATCTGGAATACAGCAGTGTAGAAGGGGTCAAAATCAAAGGTTTGAGTGATTTTATCTGCAGTATTATGTAAATTTCTTACAGTAGGCTATTGTTCCATCCCTGTTCTTTACTTGGAGGACAGAGTATGGCTGTTTTAATTGGAGGGGGAATTATAATTTATATTAATATATTGAATTTGTTTAAAATATTAAAGAATGTTTTCTCTAGGTCGTGTTCCACAGATGATTGTAATTCATCTCTCTCTATTTTTTTTTCATTCGACAGTGGTGCCATTCTGAAGAGGCCTGTAAACATAGGAGGCTGTGAACACGTCTTTTGCCTGTAAGTCATAACTATTGAGAAAATGTCTCATCCTGGTACCCTAATACTTTCCCAATTGTAGTGTGCTTTATAGTCTGTGATTTTATTCTGCCCATTTCCTGACTGTTTGTTTTTAATCTGTGGCTGTTTTGAAATACTCTGCTTCTCTGATTTTTCTTTATTTGTTTATCTCTTTGTGTGCTTTATTTTAATCTCTGTAATCTGCTTTCTGCATTTTGTTAACAGAAAAACACGTTAACCTGTTTATGATATCTCAGTCTATGAAATAATCTCTTCCATCAGCCAACTTTTCTTAAAGGCAGTAAAATACGGAGCATCGCTAGGTATACGAATGAATGGTTTCAACAATAGGATGAATTGTTGCAGTGGTTAGCAGCTGACTAATAAATTACATGGATTAGTTGTTGTTTAGCCACTCAGGATATTGCTTAAACAAAGTAATTCAAGTATTTGCATCAAGATCTAATCTAGATTGCACAAGAGTATGCATATTTTAAATCAGTGCAAAATCATTTCATAACAAAATGTGTCAATCATCTGTCTGAATATATTCTTTTTCACATATGTCACCCTGGCTTTTCTGGCCATCCCTGATATCAAACCCTGTAGATGAAATGCAATTAAAACAAATTATCTATGACTAGCTGTCCCCTGCCGCGCGTTGCTGTGGCCCAGTCTGGTGATCTGGAAAATAAAGTAATGGTTTCTAATATATGTAATTCCGTTATGCTTGTGGGTAAGCAGTATTTCTTGCTGTTTCTTTGTCAGTGTTGATGTGGAGATTGTCTGGTTTGCCTACTCTGGAACATGCGACATATAATTGTTCTTCTTTAGGGGTCCCTTTCAAATCGATGATACTATATCTCTCTCTGTGTGAATCACATATATCTGTCTATATCTATGGCTGGATGGCTCTTTGTCAGGAGGGCTTTGATTACGTTTTCTTGCCCTGGTGAAGGGAGTTGGACCGGATGGCCTTAAGTATGGTGGTTTTGTGTGGGAAGTTTGCCCCAATTCTGTCATTGGTGGGGTTCAGCATGCTCTTTGATTGTAGGTGAACTATAAATCCCAGAAACTACAACTCCCAAATGTCAGGGTCTATTTTCCCCAAACTCCACCAGTATTCACATTTGGGCAAATTGAGGATTCGTGCAAAGTTTTGTCCAGATCCATTGTTTGAGTCCAAACTGCTCTCTGGGTTTAGGTGAACTACAACTCCCAAACTCAAGGTCAATGCCCATCAAACCCTTGTAGTATTTTCTGTTGGTCATGGGAGTCCTGTGCCCCAAGATTGGTTCAATTCCATCATTGGTGGAGTTCAGAATGATCGTTGATTGTAGGTGAACTATAAATCCCAGCATCTACCACTTCCAAATGACAAAATCATTTTTTTGAGTGAAGGACATAAATTGGGTTGTTAGGTATATCGTGTCCAAATTTGGTGTCAATTCCACCAGTGGTTTTTGAGTTCTGTGAATACCACAAACGAACATTACATTTTTATTTATATAGATTTTGGAAGTGTTCTTGAACATGGCATTTTGAGATTCGTTTAAAGGGGTTTGTGAGTGACTACACTAAAAGATAGTGATTAAACCTATTCTCTGGGACATCTGGCAACATTTATCATCACTCCTTTTGTGGAAACTTTCCAGAGTAACTCCAGCTGCAGCTCTTTCTTTTTGGCTTTATTTCTAAATTGGTGAGGGAACACTTTCACTGTGTCCTTAAACTATTGTGCGCTTATATTTGTGGCCAGGCACGTGGGCAGCATGAGAGGTTTGGATTGCCTTGTGTTCATTCCACAGACCTGCTCATGAAGTCACATGTTTGATGAAATGCAAGTTCAGGATTGCCGGTGATCTGGGAAGGTAGAAATGCAAGAGAGATGATGATATGGGATGAGGGAGAGCTGTATTTTATATGAATACTCAATGCTGTCCTGTAGTGACTATCCTGTCGGTATGTCTAGCCCAGGGGTCCACAAAGTTTTTAAACAGAGGGCCAGGTCACAGTCCCTCAAGCTGTTGGAGGGCCGGATTATAATTTGAAAAAAACATGAATGAATTCCTATGCACGTTGCACATATCTTATTTGTAATGCAAAACAAACCACTTAAAACAATACAATAATTAAAATGAATAACAATTTTGACAAATATAAACTTATTGGTATTTCAATGGGAAGTGTGGGTCTGTTTTTTGCTGATGAGATAGGATTGTTGTTGTTGGGTTGTTGTAGGTATTTTGGGGCTATATGGTCATGCTCTAGAGGCATTCTCTCCTGACGTTTCTCCTGCATCTGTGGCAAGCATCCTCAGAGGTAGTGAGGTCTGTTGGAACTAGGAAAATGGGTTTATATATCTGTGGAATGACCAGGGTGGGACAAAGGACTCTTGTCTGCTGGAGCTATGTGTGCATGTTTCAACTGACCACCTTGATTAGCATTTGATGGCCTGGCAGTGCCTGGGGCAATCTTTTGTTGAGAGGTAATTAGATGCCCTTGTTTGTTTCCTCTCTGTTGTTTTGCTGTTGTAATTTTAGAGTTTTTTAATACTGGTAGCCAGATTTTGTTCATTTTCATGGTTTCCTCCTTTCTGTTGAAATTGTCCACATGCTTGTATCTGTTTGGCCTGCGTTGTCCAGACTAGTTTGTGGACGGAATACAATTTTTCTTCAATACTCTTTAAATTGAGTTTTTCAAATTGAAAGTTACGTTTAAGTACAGTATATTCTGGCGTATAAGACTACTTTTTAACCCAAGAAAATCTTCTCAAAAGTCAGGGGTCGTCTTATACGCGGGTGTAGTCTTATGCATGGGAGTTGTCTTAACTCTATATTTTAACTGGAAAAGTTGAGGGTCGTCTTATACGCCCAGTCGTCTTATATGCCGGAATATACGGTATGTATGTACTATAGAAATCTGCACAAAAATACCTATGAATTGTGTGCATTTTTAAATTGGAGTCTGGTGCAGAAATTTTTATAAAAAAGGGATGCCAAACACAGAAATAGATGGATTCATTCACCTTTGAGATCCTTTCAGTGGTGTTCAACTAGCCACTTGTATGAAATCAACTCCCTCTGAACCACATAATTTCTATTTTGGGAGCCTGTTTTCACCCTCTCTTAGTTTTAATTGGGATTTGTGATGGAGCTTGTACAAGATGCCCTAAACGTGTAAGTAAAAACCCAGCGTATTGCTCTTGTGAGTATAGGGGTTGTACTGTATTGTACCAATTAAGTGTCTTCTGTTTTCTCATTGTTTTGTTGTTCTTGCATATCTCTGGATTCCCCCTTTTCTTTATCTTATATTTATACATATCACATTGTACATTAAGTGGAAGAATGGCCAGAATCAGAGTAAACTTGTACTTTTAAAACTTTCTTTATCTTATATTTACACTAATAATAATAATAATAATGATAATAATAATAATAATAATAATAATTTATACCCTGTCACCATCTCCCCAAAGGGGACTTAGGGCGGATAACATGAGGCCAAGCCCAAAGATACAATACAACAAAATAAAATACAGAATGCAGACAACAAAAATTACATGAAAATAAAATACTTACAGTAGCAAAATCTATATAAATAAAAATGTAATGTTCTTTAGTGATATTCACAGAACTCAAAAACCACTGCGGGAATTGACACCAAAATTGGACATGATACACCTAACAACCCAATTTATGACCTCCACTAAAAAAAAACCCCAAAGAAACAGCAGAAACCCCAAAAATCCACAGAAGGGAAGGGCAGCCGTTACAGCATTGAGAGCCAAGCACATGCGCATGCACAGCCATACAAACAGAACTGGCACAGCGAACGGCACCGAGCTCCCTCCCTCACCGCGGCAGGGAGCTTCCCCCCTCATGGCAGCATGACCCCTTCACCTTCCTCCTTGCCTGCTGTGGCGACGGAGGAAAGGGAGAAAGGAAGAAGGGAGGAAAGAAAGAAGGAAGCATGGGCAAGGGGAGAGCGCGCCTTGCACAGCCTGGGGGATAGAAAGAGAGAGGCAACGAAGGGAGGACAGTTGGTAAGGTAGCGTAGGATATCTCTAGTCCCACAATTGGTTCACAAAACAAAACACACAATAGCATATCCACACTGTGTGTGTGTGTATAAGTTAAAGTTAAAGGTTTCCCCCTGACATTAAATCCTGTCATGTCCAACTCTGGGACTCTGGTGCTTATCTCCATTTTTTAGCTGAAGAGCCGGCGTTGTCCATAGACACCTCCAAAGTCATGTGGCCACTGGCATGACTGCATGGAGCTCCCTTACCTTCCTGCCAGAGTGGTACCTATTGCTCTACTCACATTTGCATATTTTTGAACTGCTATATGAATTGAAAATCATTCTATCTATCTTTTACAACTCGGCAACATACACATGTTGGCAGAGCAACAGTGAGTGCATATGGGTGTGTGGAGTTGTGAAAATATAGTGGAATTAATGCACATGCAAGATCATCCCCACAATAACCCCTCAAGACATGCACTCCAGCAGAGCCACTTATTTCCCGCGTGACTGTGTGTATTTGAGGGGAGAGCTGAGGAAATATAGTAAAATTAACACTCATGTAGATATTCTCCACAACTTCCTTTCAACATAGACATTACCATATTATCCACACCCATATGTGTATGCGTGTGTGTGTGTGCATGCACTCCATCTCCCCCCAAAGAAAGAAGGAGACAAAGAGCGAGGGAAGGTTGGCCACAACAATGCGTGGCGGGTACAGCTAGTAAAATAAATAAAACAAATTAACTTGATATAAAATTGAACAGAATGGGCAGGTGAAATGGACGAGGTAAAATGATAAAACCCTGGATGCGGTAGGAAAGAAAATAAGCAATTGAGAGGGACCCAAAAAGAATAAACTGAGGTAGGCTTTCAGTTTAGGATGGAGGAAAGTGCATCATAGGAGCAGCACTATAGATTGAGCAAGCAGAAATTGGATAAATGGTCACATATCACATTGTACATTAAGTGGAAGAATCAGAGTAAACTTGTACTTTTAAAACATTGCTGTTTAACTCGCAAACATTTTACTTAGGATATCTGCATACCCATCCCTCTCCAAACACCTACTCTTTTCACCTGGTCATGCCCAGCACTTTTTAATTTTAATTATTACATTTGGCCCTGTCATAGATTTTAATTGCGTCATTGTGTGTACTTAATGTTATTGCTTTGTTTTTATTTATTTTACTGTATTGTTGTTGTTGTTTTATTGTTGTATTTGGGCTCGGCCTCTTGTAAGCCGCACCAAGTCCTTCGGGAGATGGTAGCGCGGTACAAATAAAGGATTATTATTATTATTATTACTCTGAAAATCCCAGTCATACTCATTTCTGTTTCATTTTCAAATATACAGTTTTCAGGGTTTTTTATTTGATAAATAAAATTTAATATTAAGGCTACTGCATAAGGGCTTTGCATTTGTCACAGGAGAGGGTGTATATCTTTTCACAAAGCAGTAGCACCTCTTAAGTAGTGGAAATTCCTTTCAGTTCTCTAAGAGTGTTAATATGAAAACAGAATTGTTGCCTGAGATGCAATTTCTCTGCCTTCAGAGAACGTTCAACACTTGGAGAGAACTGAGGAAGGGATTGACCAACTTCAGCACTATCTTCCTGAATCAGCAGATAATTATGCACCTTGCATTTTTCAGCTTGCTGTTAATAGACTGCTTTTGCTTTTTGCAGATATCTTAGGAAAGTGACTGTAGTGCATTTGTCCCCTGGTGGTTACATTAGAAGGCAGTGTTGAATAAGCAGGGGCTCTAACAAGATGAGTTTTCTTGGCCTGGAAAGCAAAGCTCAGTTCTGCTCTTTGCCCTTGTTAATAAGTTTCATGGTTAGAAACGATTGATGATGCTTTCGCCGCAGTGCTCTTGACTACTTGTAAGGGAGTTCAGTCAACTGCAGTTACTTTTGAAGAGAAGTCAGTCCAAAATTGCAATGCAGAGTGTACTCAATGTGCTGGAATAAGGGACGGAAGGATCAGATTATTTTGATGCACAAGGGAGTTGGGTGGGAACAATGCAATGGTTGTAACAAGGTCATAAGGATTCTGGCCACCAAGGTCTCTTTCTGGAGGCTGGGATGAAAATGATTTTCTTGGCACTCCTGTTTGGCCACAGGTAATTCTTGAAAATTTCCTATAGGCATGAGCCATGACACACATTCTGACCCTTGAGTATGTCCTTGGAACGATTGGCTTTAAAATCACTGTAGTAGCACCAGGAGTTTGTAATAGAGGTTAAGACCTCATTTAGAGGGACAAAACCTTGCTGAAAATCTAAACTGGTAGCAAGCAAAGCATGTTCTTATTTTGTCAGAGAATACTGGGATGTTGATGTGCCAACTGATTACTTCGTGGTCAGCCATATTTACCCATGAGCTTTGAATCCCAAGTTTTTAGAAAAACATAATGGTTTTAAAAATAATAATATTAATAAGGAAGAGTCCGATATTCAAAGATGAATCCCAGACACTTGGACCTAATGAGCATGTGTGCTGTGTTGTTAGGTTCATAATAATGTGGATAACCATAGAATCATAGAAGAATAGAGCTGGAAGAGACCACCTAGTTCAACCCCCTGCCATGCAGAAAAAGTACCATAGAATCATAGAATCAAAGCGTTGGAAGAGACCTCCTGGGCCATCCAGTCCAACCCCCTGCCAAGAAGTAGGAATATTGCATTGAAAGCACCCCTGACAGATGGCCATCCAGCCTCTGTTTAAAAGCTTCCAAAGAAGGAGCTGCCACCACACTCCGGGGAAGAGAGTTCCACTGCTGAACGGCTCTCACAGTCAGGAAGTTCTTCCTCATGTTCAGATGGAATCTCCTTTCCTGTAGTTTGAAGCCATTGTTTCGAGTCCTAGTCTCCAGGGAAGCAGAAAACAAGCTTGCTCTCTCCTCCCTGTGGCTTCCTCTCATATATTTATACATGGCTATCATATCTCCTCTCATCCTTCTCTTCTTCAGGCTAAACATGCCCAGCTCCTTAAGCCGCTCTTCATAGGGCTTGTTCTCCAGACCCTTGATCATTTTAGTCGCCCTCCTCTGGAGACATTCCAGCTTGTCAATATCTCTTCAATTGTGGTGCCCAGAATTGGACACAATATTCCAGGTGTGGTCTAACCAAAGCGGAATAGAGGGGAGCATTACTTCTCTAGATCTAGACAGTATGCTCCTCTTGATGCAGGCCAAAATCCCATTGGCTTTTTTTTTTGCCATCACATCACATTGTTGGCTCATGTTTAACTTGTTGTCCACCATCAAGGTCAACCTCTCTCCTTCCTGGGGGCTTCCTTTCACCCTTGCCAGTTTCTCAGGCTTGCCTTGTGGGTTCAAGGGAGAGAGCCTTTTCCTCTGCGGCCCCCTGACTCTGGAACTCATTGCCCGGAGAAATTAGGAAAGCCCCTGCTTTAGAAACCTTTAAAAACAATCTCAAGAATTTTGCTCCTTTATCTCACCCATAGTTTTTAAATCATTTTATGTACATGTGGCCTGCTCACTCTCATTATGTTTGGTTTACTGCTTTTTTTCTTTATGTTTTGTGTATATTGTTTATATGCTTATATGTTTTATACTTTAATGGTATGTTGTTTATTTTATTGCCATTTGTATGTTATTTTATTGTAATTTGTTGTTTGGGCTTGGCCTCATGTAAGCTGCCTCGTGTCCCCGTTGGGAGAGATGGTGGTGGGGTATAAATAAAGTTTATTATTTATTATTATTATTATTACAGCTATAAATGTGTGCTACAATTGTAGCAAGTTTCATCTGGACAGCCGTAAAAATGAGGGCAAAGGGAGCCCCAGAAGTTTCCCTATTGCTGTGAATAGGCGGAATAATGAAATAAAATAATAAAAATTTTGAAATTTCTTGTTGGAAACAAAATGAAGTTTTGGCATTTGACAGTCCTGGTAGTCAATGCTTAACAAGGTAGCTTCAGAAACCATAGTTCAAAGTTAGTTTATAATCCATGGTACAAGGAACAAAAAAAATACAAGCTTCTGAAGTTGACTGTTGGGCTGAGTCCGTGAAAGAAACATGCATGGATGGGGCTGACTAAAGCTTATTCTTGCACATTCATGTTGTATTGAACTATTGTTTAATATGTTGTGCATAAATATTGCATCACTCAGAATATTTGACAGTCTTGTCACTCAGTAGCTGGCAAAACTTTGAAATGGGACTTTAATTTGTTGCATCAAATGTCTTCAAATTTCATCCAATTTAAGTGAAGTTTAAATATTGACTTTGTTTTACTGTATTACCGGTTGTTCTATGATATTCATGCATTACACTTTTTTCACCGGAGCCCCCGGTGGCACAGTGGGTTAAAGCCCTGTGCCAGCAGAACTGAAGACTGACAGGTTGCAGGTTCAAATCTGGGGAGAGGTGGATGAGCTCCCTCTATCAGCTCCAGCTCCTCATGCGGGAACATGAGAGAAGCCTCCCACAAGGATGATAAAAACATCAAATCATCTCGGCGTCCCCTGGTCAACGTCCTTGCAGACGGCCAATTCTCTCACACCAGAAGCGACTTGCAGTTTCTCAAGTTGCTCCTGGCACGACAAAAAAAAAAAAACCCAACTTTTTTCACCCCTTCATGTCACAAGTGGATGGTCCTCCATGTGAAAATCCTGTGGTTTTATTTCATTTACAGGACATGTGTGGGCGACTGCATTGGCACAGCTTGTCCAGTGTGTCACATGCCAGCCATGGTACAAGATGTGAAGGTAAACAGGCAGCTGGACAATATCATCAAACTATTCAGCAAACTGCAGAATCTACAGGGCACTGACTTTTCAGGTAAGTGAAATAAGTACTGTGACTGTTTGTAATGTGGTAGAGACAGGAAGACAGGGAACTGGAGACTGGGGTGATATAAAGATATATCTGAAAGGCAATCTAACGCAGTCCAGGGAATTTTAAGCAGAATATGAATGACTAGGTTCTTCAGCGTTTTCAAATCCACTGAGGATCTTCTTTGGAATAGAGGGGAAAGGCTAATGCAGTATTTATATCTGCAATTCACCAGGATCTCTGCTGAATTTAGATGAAAATGTCACGTTTTGCAGGTGTCTGTTGGACTGCTGCTTGACACAGTGCTGTAGAACAACCCGCTTTCCACATTCTTGTGCTTCTTTAAGGTGCCCGGCATTGCTTTCCCCATTACATGTTTAAAAAATGAACTCCTTTCCACAGGTCATTCCCCTGTTTATTATTTATTTCTTTATTTATTTACTGCACTTGTAGACCGCCGTTCTCAGCCCTAGGGCGACTCACGGCGGTGTACAACATATAAAAACAAATTACAATATAGGCAATATCACAAACAACAATAACAACATCACTATCAATAATACAATTACACTAAATCATTCGCGACGTCTCATCATAGAATCACAATCCAATCTCGTTATCCATGTTCCGTTCCAATCGTCATTGCCAATTGTTGTAGCACTTAGTCAAACGCCTTCTCAAACAACCACGTCTTTAGTCTCTTGCGGAATGTCATAAGGGAGGGCGCCTGTCTGATGTCTACAGGGAGGGTGTTCCACAGCCGGGGGGCCACCACCGAGAAGGCCCTATCCCTCGTCCCCGCCAGGCGTGCCTGTGAGGCAGGCGGGATCGAGAGAAGGGCCTCCCCAGACGATCTCAAGGTCCTCGTGGGCTCATAGGCCAAGATGCGGTCAGACAGGTATTTTGGGCCAGAACCGTTTAGGGCTTTGTAGGCCAACACCAGCACCTTGAATTGGGCCCGGTAGCAGATTGGCAGCCAGTGGAGCTGGGACAACAAGGGCGTTGTGTGCTCCCTGCATCCCGCTCCTGTTAGTAACATGGCTGCCGCGCGCTGGACTAGCTTGAGCTTCCGGGCCGTCTTCAAGGGCAGCCCCACGTAGAGAGCGTTGCAGTAGTCAAGGCGAGATGTGACCAGAGCGTGTACTGTTGTAGTCATGCAAACCCTGTAGTTAGGTAAGCATATTCTTTATGTTGTGGTCATTTGGATTTTGACATTAGCAGAGTTTATAGGTAACTCGGTGTATTATACGAGGGGTATTTTTTAAGTAAGGTCCGTTTGAACATAAGTACACAATGAAAGTTTATTTCAAAAAGTAAATTTATTTTTAGAAAGTAATACTTCACTCTATTTTTCGACATAGCTGCCAGGTTTGTTCAAACACTTATCATACCTCTGAGCCAATTTTAAAATACCCTCTTCATAAAAACTTGCCGCCTGCCCCGATATCCAAGAGTTCACTGTAATCAAAGAAGGGCGACCGGAGCGGTCCTCATCATGGACGTTGTCACGGCCATCTTTGAATTGTCGTACCCACTTACGCACTTTGATTTCACTCATAACAGTATCACTGTACACTTCACAAATCTGTTGATGAATTTCTGCAGCAGGCAGGTTCCTTGCTGACAAAAACCGTATCACTGAGCGAACCTCACATGCGGAGAGTGAGTTGATAGTATTAAACATTTTTAAAGCACAGAACAGAACCGTACAGGTTAGCTACAGAGCGGAAACTGAGCACAGTTGTTCCCGAGGCATGTGCGCGAACTACTAGTGTCTACAACAAAACGGACCTTACTTAAAAAATACCCATCGTACATCTGGATGTAGGGTTGCATTACCATATATTCTGTCGTATAAGACTACTTTTTAACCTAAGAAAATCTTCTCCAAAGTCAGGGGTCGTCTTATACGCAGGAGTAGTCTTATACACGGGAGTAGTCATACCTGGGAGTAGCCTTATGCATGAGAGTTGTCTTATATGCCGGAAGTTGTCTTAAAGAGCGGGTGCTGAAACTTCCAATCTGGATTGGAGAATCTGTGTTTCCTGCATATTGTGGGGGGAGCTCAAAAATGGCAGTGGCCGCGTCCCTGCCGTATGCAGCAACTGTATGAAAACATTAAGGGCGACGCTGTACAAGTATGGTAGAAGGAAATCCATTCATCAGGATTCGTGGACTTAATGCGGTCCTGATGGTGCGGCGAAGGGGCGCCTCACAGGGAAGGTGTAAGTGAAGGGTGGAGCAAGCGGCAGGCATCTGGGGCACCCAGGGTATGGAAAAAAGAGATAGAGTGGCTCTGGGCCCAAAAACAAACAAAGACACACCTCTTTTACCTGTCTGGCCCACCCTTATATCCTATTACCGTACCTCCTTCTCTGCCTCTCAGATCTCGCTCCTGAAGACTGCAGTGAAGTGGTGCAGGTGCGCATGTGCGAGATCTGAAAGGCAGAGAAGGAGGTACAGTAATAGGAAAATTAAATCAGATGCTTTTAAAATTTTTATTTGTTGGAAGAAGGGTAGTCTTATACGGCGAGTATATCCCAAACTCTATATTTTAACTGGAAAAGTTGGGGGTCATCTTATACGCCCAGTTGTCTTATATGCCGGAATATATGGGTAAGTCAAAAATGACTTGTAGGCACACAACAACAACAACAACAACAACATGATATTTCAAGTTACAACATCACTTTCATGAATAAAACATGGCAGTCTTCAAAGTAAATATAATATAGGTCATAATATGACTACAATCAGATTGTAGAGAAAATCTCGTGAAGAAAAGCACTTTGAGTCTCCTTTGGGAGAGATAAACCGGAGTATAAATTTTATATATTTATTATTCAAACTTATATGCCGCCACTCCCCTGGGGCTCGGAGCGGCTTACAAGAACAGGCTAAAATCTAACACAATTTAAAACAATTTAAGAACAGCAATATCAACGACTAAAGGCCTGTCGAAACAGATATGTCTTACATGCCCTGTGGAGAGCTGATAAGTAAATAAACATCGCCATCTTACAGGCAGAGATGCATTCTTGCCACAAACACTTTACATTCTTCAGTGTGTCCAGTTTCTTCATGCATCTTCTGTGCTGTGCTCCTAGTGGTAGATGACTTTTGTGGAGTGACAGATACAGATCTGTTTACTTTGTTGGATTTGTGATGGAGAAACTGAGTATTATCAGAAAAACTTGAGAGGTGCGGTTTGTTTGTTATCCGTAATAAGAATAGTCAAATTTGCTTGGTAATATCACCAAAATCCTCTTTCCCTATTGCTGCTAGACTGAGTAAATTAATATTGGATAATCCTTCTTCCATTGCCCATGAAGCTCACTGGGTGGGCTTAGTCAAGTCACGCTGTCTGATGAAACAGCCACGCTGATGAAAGGGGAATAATTTCCTGTAATTTGCTTCAAAAGTTTATTAAAGCAGAATGGGTTACAAATACAGAAATGAGATGACGAGGCCATGTTAAGAAATGAAAGAATTCACTGTACCCCTGAGAAAATATGGTCCGCTGTACTATTCACTTACACAAGTGGTGATTCTACAAAAGTTCACGCTCTTCCTATATATCATTTCAGTGGATTAAAAAATAACATATGGCACTTTTGAATATTCAGCATCTTTATTAATGACTTGGATGAAGGTTTAGAGGGCATACTTATCAAGTTTGTAGATGATACCAAATTGGGAGGGATAGCTAATACTCCAGAGGACAGGAGCAGAATTCAAAATGACCTTAACAGATTAGAGAGCTGGGCCAAAACTAACAACATGAATTTCAACAAGAAGTGCAGGATACTTCACTTAGGCAGAAAAAATGAAATGCAAAGATACAGGAAGGGTGATTCCTGGCTCGACAACAGTACATTACAGGGAGCGGTCAACCCCCCTGTTTAAGGAGCTCCATTGGCTGCCGTTCATTTTCCGGTCCCAATTCAAGGTGCAGGGTCTTACCTACAAAGCCCGAAACGGTTTGGGATCTGCCTACCTACATGACCACATTTCTCTGTACGAATCCACACAATCTCTTCGATCATCTGGAGAGGCCCTGCTCTCTCCCGCCCCCTTCGCAGGTGCGATTGGGGGGAATGTGGGAGAGGGCCTTCTCTGTGGTGGCCCCCTGACTCTGAAACTCACTTCCTAAGGATATTAGGCAAGCGCCCACATTGACAGTCTTCAGGAGGAGCCTGAAAACGTGGCTGTTCCAGTGTGCTTTCCCTGAATGAAGGAAATAATTCCCAGCAAAATGTCCTCAGAAGCACTTTAACTACTTATGGTTTTTCTTGTGTTACTGATGTTAATTGTAATGAATTTTTTTACCTGTGTTAAATGTTTTTAATGTTTAAATTATTTTTGTACTGTTGTGGGCATCGAATTGTGCCGTTTTGTAAACCGCCATGAGTCGCCCTCGGGCTGAGAATGGCGGTCGGTATAGAAGCATAGTAAATAAATAAATAAATAAATTCTCATTGGGTTGCTCTCCATTCTTTTCCTCCTACCAGATACATCCTACCTCTGTCCATGCCCAGCGTTTATTTTTTAAATTTTAAATTATAACATTTTGCCTGGCCATAGGTTTTTTAGATCCTTTCATATTATTGTTTATACGTGAGTTATATTAATTGTATGTTTTTGCTTATTGTATTTTGTTTTATTGATGTGTTGTCGGGCTTGGTCTCATGTAAGCCGCTCCAAGTCCCCTTGGGGAGATGGTGGCGGGGTATAAATAAAGTTTTATTATTACATGTGAAAAAGATCTTGAAGTCTTTGTGGACAACAAGCTGAACATGAGCCAACAATATGATGCAGCAGCTTAAAAAGCCAATGGGATTTTGGGCTGCATACAAAGGAGTATAGTGTCTAGATCGAGGGAAGTCATGGTGCCTCTCTAATCAGCTTTAGTTAGACCTCACCTAGAATATGTTGTCCAATTCTGGGCACCACAGTTTAAAAGAGATATTGACTCTAAGCCAAACCATGTCCAGAGGAGGGCCACT